ATTACCCCTAAAATCTGGGGGTTCACGTGACCAGAGGGAACCAGGGTCTTCGCCGGAGCCCGAGCGCAGGTAAAAGACCCTGGCTTGCGAGGTTGGTTCTCTGGCTCACTGTCAAATTTGGATTCCCCAATGGCAATGCTTAAGTCACTGTCAGAGTCAATCATAGTTATCTTCCAGGAAGATTCAGAGCTGCTGACCATTTGCTACTAAATTGAAGATGGCGATGAGGAAACAAAGAATGTTTATATTATCGCTTTTTCGACAGCAACTTAAGAAAGCAAGCTATGATTGGTACTATGTATTACTGATTTTATTGATCTTCCAAAATAAGTGACGTTTTGCTTGAATTCCAATTGGAACATAACAAACATCTTGTTGGTTCGCTTGTACCTTTGTATATAAATTTTTCCTGTGACCAGACGAAAAGACTAGCCGGCGGTAAAAGTTCAAGTAGCCGGGGGACTCCGGCGGCCGCCGGCTTATTCTGAAACCCCTGTCATATGTTGGTACCGTAACCTAATTTCCACTCCTCACCATTTTGCAACGTACTTGTCACAGCCCCCCCCCCCACCAGTAGTATTTTAACGAGAGGTGAAATTGGATGACTTATGCAGTTGTGATTTCATAATACAATGATACTTTACATCACATGTTACATAGGCTGTGTTTACACTATAACACTACGGCTAACATTCCGTTAAAAATTTACTACCGGTATGTTTCTAGTATTGAGACTATATTGTGTTTACAATATCATGGAGTGGTTTTCTGTAGCATATTAACTATGGACCACTACATTTGGCACTATGAATGCAAATCACTATGCTACGGTAAATTTGCCGTAGTGTCATAGGGTAAACACAACCATAGTTGACTTCAGGGGCCAGTTGTATGAAAACCGGATAGCGCCACCCACCAGATAGTGATATTATTCAACCATTGTAAAAATGCTTAAAAAATGCTAAAGTTTAATCTGGGTTATACGTACCAATCAACGCATTATTTTAGGAAGCTTTAAAAAATCACTATCTGGTGAATAGTGCAATCCGGCTATTGCAGAACCAGTCCCAGAGGGATATGATTCAATGCTAAAGCCTGTTTACACAAGCAAATGTTATTTGACAAATTTCATTTGATCAAATGCATTTGATCAAAAGCTAGCATGATAGCTTGTGTTCAAATGCATTTGTCACACTAAATTTGTTACAAATTTATCAGCTACACATGCAAAATATCTTTGACACATAAAATTTGTCAAATAAAATTTAACATCCTAGGATTAATAGGTGGGGGCCAGATTGACTGCACCTCCATTTTTAAGTTCAACCCCTCCCCCCCCCCCAGCATTGCACCAAAATGTGCCCTATTCCTTGGATTACCATATTTTGTACATACCTCCTTCAGGAAGAACCCTTCCAATACCGAAATCAGACAGTGCTAAACCACCCCTCACATCAACAAGTACATTGGTGGGCTTCAAATCTCTGTGCAAAATTCTAGGGTCTCTAGTATGTAATGCTTTCAGCCCTTCCAACACTTGACGTATCATCTCTCGAAGATAGGATTCTGTCATCGTTTCGCCTTTCTCCTTGATAAATTCTTCAAGATTTTGTTCATACAAGTTCAGAATCAAATAACCGAAATCAGAGCTGGAAGTGTCATCGTAGAAACAGTAATTTACTATTTGTGGCGACTTGACTGCATTCGTACAGTTCAAGATATTTCGTTCATTCTTCAACAATTTCGTACACAGTTGTTTTGGCAAACGTTTTATCGCTCGTTCTATCCCGTCAGATCCCAAGCAAATGTACACCTCTGTGCCGTAACTGCCACTGCCTATTAAGAACTCTTTTTCAAAAATTACACCGTAACCACTTATTAGTGTCACATTGTCCCATAGATTTAAAAGCCGTTCGAACTTCTTTCTATGCTTCACTGAGAGTTGTTTCCAATCTTTTGGTTTTGAAGCTGCTATTCTTTGTCTTTTCTCCTCATATTCCTTCATAGCTTCTTTCTGCTTTGACCTGGTTTTGATGCTAGATTGTTTTCTCTTGAGCATCGCACGTTTGTCCCTTAACTCTTGTTCGTCGCTCCTCCCTTTTAAGAGTTTGTTAATCTCTTTTAGGGAGAGAGTTGTTAAATCATGGTCAGATATAGGAGGTAAAGGCAATAAATCTGTCACGTTATTGATTGGAACACTTTCTTCTTGTTCGTCGGCCATTTTAAA